ATTGTGTTAATAAATACAAAACTAATTGGTTATTCCAAGACACATGAAAACACTTGAATATTTAGCCCGACTGACTACAACTTAAAGATTGGTTTTATACGAAGAATAAATAATGAAAATAACTTAATTATTAACACAAAACATTTTAAAACATCATTTTGTGCTGATCACTTGATTAACAAAAATATATTGAATAGTCACAATGGTTGAGAGAAATTACAAAAAACAAATAAAATATCATTGCTCATTTATTATAAATATTAATAAATTTATTAAAATAAAATAATAAACATGATAAAAAATATCGATCAAAAAGCGAACAAGAGACTCAGAACATAACAAACAAAAAATAATTTCCATTTTCAACAACACTGAATATAAAAATTGTTCAAATAAATGAAGAAACTGACTTTTTAATATCAATTAAGAGTGCGGGGTTTGATGGCTTCAAGTCATTGTAGCTTTAAAAAATACTTGAAAAAACAAAAATGAAACAATTAAAGATTTAACTTTGGTAAGGTCATCTGAAATTAACATTTATTTGGCTTGTTGTATTCAATTTAGACAACATTAATATAATGTAATTGACTACTATTTGTGTTTTATTCTATAAAATTTACTTTTTTATTAAAACGTGTTTTATTTTTGTTTGTTTTTGGTTATTGTTGTGTTGTTGTGTGTTTTTGTTTGTTTTGTTTTAAAGTTCAATAATTATCAAATATTGTTCATTAAATTATAATATATTAATGTTTACCATTAAATAATAAATTAAACCCATAATTTATGTTTAAAATATATAATCAATTCAAAAGTTAAGAACATTTCAATGGTGTAATTGATTTGTTCTTGAGGTGGGTTTGGTTTGGATCGTTTTTTAATAAGTTATAATATAAATGCAATTTAAAATAAAAAATTATTAAATTAATTTGTTTAAATTCTGATTTAATAATAATAGTACAGTGTTAATAACTCATATAAATGTGTAATTATAATAAACTATTCATACAAGTATAAGTTCTGTATTTTATTTGATTTCGAACATCTTATTTCCAATAAGATGTTTTAAAACATTTTCGGTTTTTATTTTCAAAAATGAATCATATTATTATAATAAAATGTATTAAATTTTGATATATTTTGTTTATTAAATTGAACGAATATACCCCAAAAAAGAATTTAATATGAATAATAACAAATTTTCCCGAATATATGCATACAAGTCTTTTATTAAATTTGTTTTTTATTTGATTTATATAAATAGAAAAACGTTCAAATTTACACATTATTTTTTATTATAACTTTATATAAAATGAAACTAATGAAAGACCATTCTATATTGTAATTACTTTAATAAATTGTATAAATTCAAATCTTTATATTATTTGAGTGAACTATTAAATGATTTTTGTTTTCTAATGCGTTCTTTTCTTCATAAATTTTAAAATGAAATTTCAATTTTCCCAAGTTTTTTCCATCAACTTTTCTTTTTATTTAATCATTTTATCTCATTTTGTCCATGTTTTTTGTAAAAAGGTATTGCCACGTAAGCCAGTGCAGGTATGGCGCTTAGTGCAAGTATGTCGCAGGTCTTTACTTATTTTTCATAACAAATAGTTTTTTGTTTCAAAACAATTAGATTTTGTTGCACAATTTGCGTGATTGTTGCATATCAATATCGGGTGTTTCGGAACTATTTATTTATCCTCAAATCAATAATTTATTGTTCCAAAACAAAGAGTTGTTTCATAATTATTGTCTTTTGTTTTAAAATAATATAGTATTATTGTATTATTGCTTTGTATTGTTTCAAAACAAAAATAACCAAAATAAATTAAACTATAAACTAAAAAATAAAGTAATGGCAATTGCATTCTTTGAGTTCATCCACCGAGATGAAATCAAAGGATTCATTAACCCCGAAGAGGTTTTTCCATTTGTAGAAACACCACAACCAGTAGAAATAACAGAAAGAAGAACAGCCGATGACATTGTTGCCTCATTAATCCCACTACCACCTCAGCCAGCTGTACACACAGCTCAACAATGG